CTTGTTTCGCCTGGGTTACATTTAAATATACTTAAAACTTATTTAATATACTTTGAATATACTTAAAATTTGAGACAAAAAAAATTCTCGAAACCCAGAAATTGCAATATTCTCTCAGTTTTTATTATTTGTTTCTTAGTAATTCCTTTCAAATTTATTACTTCTTAGTTAACTTAATTTCTATCCGGCGACGTGCCGATGAATTCGAAAAAGACGACGAATTATTGTATACGGTTTGGTCGCTCGTTATGGTCCGCAATCAGCTGCCAGCGCAAGCGGTACTATTTTAATACTCGTCGAAACATGAAAAAAAAAACAGAAGATCTAACAAACATGGGTTATTAATAGCTTGAATATCATGGCAAACATATTAATGTTTTTATAAAATAATTTATAATGTTTTATATTAATCTTTTCATTATAAATGTTAGAGAATCGATTAAATACATTCGTTGTGTCGATTCGCATTCACACTCGATGAAGCTAATTGCTAAATGAAATAAAGGCTCTCGTTCTCGTAGTTTCAAGACTATTATTGCACTTTCTCTTGTATCGTTTCAAATTTTATTTTCAAATTTCCCAGATAAAAATAGTTGACACCATTTTGCTTAGAATTTTGTTTATTAATCGCGCGCGCTTTATTTAGAAAGAGTCGAAAACGCTCTGACTCAAGTCCTACGTTTCCCTTTCGTTCTTTTTTTCCTTTTTTGCCGTCGGGGGCAAATATTTCTGAGACTTTCGCCGGGAGAATTTAATTGTAACGTAGCACTTCACTCGGTGAACACATCTCTCGAAAATTCGCAACGGCGACGCAATTACGAATCAACGTTATACGATTTCGTTGATAATAAACGCGAGCTTCTCTCATTATCCTCTCCTTCACGCGGCGTTGGTCGCGTTTCCGTCCGCGATATATCTTAAAAATCAGAAAGACACCCAGAATACACGCCGATAACGAAACACAGCAAACGCGAACACGCGGCCGAACAAAGGCATTTACGACGTGTTCAAAATTATTCGCAAGCTCGTCACGATCGCGGTGTAGATCCACGTTTGCGCGTAAATCGTCGCATTATCAATTTCGGTGTGTTTTCTGGGCTACGTACCGGTGACCACCGCGGCTGGCAAAGCTAATTATTTTCGGAGGGGAGAATGCGACGTAAGGAGAGAAAAAAAGGAAAAACAGGCACGGTTATACATATAACGCAACGACAGAGAGTAATATCCTGCGGGCGCATCGATCATCATTCGTATCTCGGTGTTTGATATACGGTGCGATAAAAACGTGACGCGAGAAGACCAATTTTTGGGTCTTTCGCTCTCGTCTCTCGACTCGCCGCGTTAAAAAATTACGTACAGGTCGAAATTGAATCGTTGGGGAAACGTGGCGAAGGATCGTGGTAGTTTTTTGAATCGGTCGGCGTGGAAACGAGCAGTGTCTGGTCGATCGTTGAATCCACCGCTCGCCATTTTGATACACCGAAAATCAATTCGCCGAAAAAAAGACAGGAGAGAGAAAAGAAAAACGGCCGAACGTTTGTTTCCGCGTTCGGAGAAAGATCGGCGTGTAAATATAAATTCACCGAGAATAAACGCGATTGAACGAAGTGAAATGAATGAATGAACGAACGAATGAATGAAACGAACAAGTAGTTGCGAGCGCACAGTTATTAAATTGTACTAAAAATCTAGTGCAAGCCGGCGGAAGGAGACTCGAGGCAAGGGGAGAAATTGAATTATTCGATGGGATGATAGATCTCGAGGCGAAGAACTTGCGACACGTAGAAAGTGGATGTATGAAAAATTCATTGGTCGACGGGGGCATTAACGCGGGAGCAACGTTGTTTCTCGAAAACTTCGTCGATATTGCCAGGCGACACCCAAGCAAGAGTGGAACATCATAATTGAAAACGATGGATAATTTTTAGGCGAGAGCAGACCGTGTCGCGTTAAATAAACAAAGTTTCGCCTGATCCACTTTCGGGAACCGAGGAGTTTGAAAGAAATTTCACACCGCGTATTTTCGCCCGTTTTCGTCTTGCAGCGAGAGTCGAAAGAAACGCGTGATTTAAAAAAAAAAAAAAAAAAAGAGAAAAAGAAAGAAAAAAAGAAAATTCCTAAAGCTGAAGCATTGTTTCTGCGATCTGGCAGGAAACGTCGAAGATCCTCAAATGAGCGCGGGGCTCGCTGCATGGAAGATGAAATTTAATGCTAGTTACTTATGCACGTGACGCGCCGAGACCGTATTATTCGCGCGTTATTACGCGCGTACGATGCACACGAGCCGGAAATGTCTCGCAAGGGAAACGCGATCGCGCGATCCATGGGAACTTAATGACATGTTAATATACAATTCGCCTCCCAAATAATTGAAATCTCATATAATATTTCGAATTCTCAACCTGTGACATTAATGAAATAGAATCCGCAGCCTGCTACGTGTGTGTGTGTGTGTGGATTGACGGTGGAGATCAGGTGAGGGAGGCGGGGGGGGGGGGGGGGGGGGGGGGATGCATTAACGTATTCAGTATTGGAACGCATAGAATGGATAACGCCACGCATGTTATATACAATTCCAATAAATTCGACGTGCAGGATGCCTCGTGATAGACGAATCCCACGTTCAAGGGAGAATGGCAACGACGCGGCCAGGATAACGAGATAATTTCGTTGCACGAATATTCCATCGCTATTACTACTATTCATTCATGATTTCGTAATTAGAAAAATCGGTTTAATTTATGTTTGTCATCGACTTTGTTGTCTGTATTATAAATTGCAACCTCTTCGTCATTTAAGTGTATTTCACATAGGTCGTAATTCCGACTCAATTGGCTATAGAAAAGATATACACCTTTTGCACGTTTGTATTTATGTTACACGTTATTGAGTTGCACAATATTTGACAAATTGTGCAATTTTAGTGGTTGTTAAATAACAATCGATTTTGTTACTAATCAATACTATATTCGTTTAATTTGTTGTATGAGTAATTTACTTGAATAATTATTAATGATGTTATCTCTCGTCGATTACCGGGCAATTACTAATCATATTTTTCTACTAAAATTTCCTTCATTATCGATCGACGAGATAGTTGCAAATCCACGTAGCGTTATCTACGAATGGTAAATTCTACCCTCGCTTGTGATACAAATATCAAATATCAAAAGTTTCGTCTATATTAAAAGTAGTTTCAATTTCAGACAGGATACATGAAATTTCAATTAAAAAATACATGATATCCAAAAATATCTATTCTAAAGTAATAAATAAAACAGATAAATTACTATTCACGTGTACAATGCTCATGATTACCATGCTCGTCAAAAATTAAAATAAAAGTGCATTTGACTTACGATTCGATGCGAAGAACATTGTCATTGTTAGACAGGAATTGTCGAATCCCATGGAAAAAGTGAAAAATCTATCAAATTCACAGCGAGAACTATCGGAATCGTTGATTAACCGTTTTTGGCGCCATGTTGCTAAACTGCTATTCGTTCGAAACTACTCACGTGATCAACGGTTATTCTGTAAAAGAAGCCGAGAATACGAAACAATTAGAATCAATTGTAACAACATGAAATAAGCTTAACTTTAATCCCAATTTAAGAACTCGTAATACAAAATAGAAGTAATTCGAAAATCAAATACTTAACCAATAAAACAGAAGGACTGTCACTTTGGAAGACTATGTAATTTCACTACGTACATGTATGATAAATGATGAAATACGCATATAGTAATAAAACACAGAGCACAGAGTATAACGTTTTAATTTATAGTATTCGATTGAAATAAAAAGCTTAAAAGTTTGTTTCATCGGGAATGAACTATTCACAATAATTTAAATTGAAAATTTTTTCATGTTAAATCTGTATGTGGGAAACAAATGGCGGAAGTTACCGGTATTATTAACAACCGAATACACGATACGCAATGCGAAAGAATCGAAGAGTGCATTGATAATATTCATTACATTAATAAATGCACACGTATTAATTAAACAAAGATAATAGTGATGAAGATGTAACGCAATTGATTTTACCTCAAAGGAATTAACACAGCTCTTGATTTTCAACATTCGTGCAACAGTAATGACCCGCGCCGCGTTTACACTAACAATGAGCAAACCTCGTATGGTGGGGGAATGTTTTGGGAATTGGCGGCAAGTAAAGCGTATTCAAACTGACAAATTCTTTGAAATGATGTAAACTCTAAGAACTGTTTTCAATATACGACGTTATTATTGATTCATTTGCGATGTTACATATAAAAAAAATATAATTGGCTAAAATATGGTTATATTAGGAAAGAAATATATTTGCATGAATTAAATGTGAGGAAACATCGTGCCCACATGCCGCGATGATAGCGCACTCTATTCCAATGCATATGAGAGTGTTATTTTCCCGCGCAATAGCAAAGCAATTTGAAAGGCTAAATTTAAGAATTATTAGAATTATGTGTAAATTTTTTTACTAAAAACAGAAAAATACTTTATTTCGCAATTCCTTTTCTGACAAATTTTTTCACGTTTTAATTTTGGTAATTTAAATATTTATAATTTTTTAACCGATCTAATTTTACAATCTCATTACATTATTGCAAAAGTCAAATAAGCACATTGCTGAACATAAAATTTTAACGATAATACATGATATGGAACCATATAGATCTATTAATTTTTATAAGACACCAAGTTAAAATTCATAGAATATAATTTTAAATTCATAGAATATGCATTAAAGACAGATACGTATTCGTATAATTTTAGTGCTAATTTACAAATTTCGATTAGTTGGAATAAACTTGATATTTGCTTTAAAATTTCTCACAGAACTGTTACATAATCTTTCAAATACGTTTTTTTAATAACAAAAAATTATAATAATATGGAAATCGACAAAAATCTATATGAAATCTAGAGAAATAATTTCAGGTGTGACCGCAACTACAACGAGGTTAAGAATACGCTATAGAAAACTTACTATTCAATGTTTAAGTGACTGTGAAAGTTGTGTTTGTTAAATTGTAACAAAACCATTAACTGAATGGAAATATTTATATTGTATAGTTTTAATTATATATAATAATTATGTGTAAAAATCATTTTTAGTTTATTAAAAAGAACATACAGACAAGAGTAATTCATAATTTTTTAGTTATTTAGTGCATAGAAAGCAATTATGGCAGACGCTGCGGCAAGGCAGTTGCAATACGAATATAAAGCCGTTAGTATAATATTTATTAATTAGCATAAAGATTATCAAATGTAATTTTATTTTTCTGGTGTAATTTTATTTTTGTAATTTCGATTATACGTGTATGTACTCTTTTGTATTACACGCCAAATAGGTTAAGTTCTAACCTTAATTAGGTATTAAACAAGATGTTTCTACCAATCAATAAATGTTCGTATGCTTGTTACAGAATTCTAATCTTGTGTTACAAGCTGATGTACGATTAATAGAAAGACGTAGCAGAGATGAAGCCACTGGTGAGGTTATGTCCCTTGTTGGGAAACTGGATGGAACACGGATGGGTGACAGAGCACAACGTACTAAGCCAGGAAAGGCAGAGGAACGAAAAGTCAAGTAAATAATACGATGAATTATTTACAATATTTATTATAACGAAATATTTTATGTATTAAATACCCATTTTTAATAGGCGTCAGAAACGTGATGAAGCTCAATATGATTTTGCAAGAATGAAAGGTGCAACGTTGCTCTCAGAAGGTGTAGATGAAATGGTTGGAATTGTTTACCGCCCTAAAACTCAAGAGACGCGTCAGACTTACGAAGTATTATTGAGTTTTATTCAAGAAGCTTTAGGAGATCAACCTAGAGACATTCTTTGTGGTGCTGCTGATGAAGTACTGGCGGTTTTGAAAAATGATCGACTTAAGGAGAAAGAAAAGAAAAAAGAAACAGAATTATTATTGGGACCATTAGCTGAAGAAAGATTCGCGTTATTAGTGAATCTTGGCAAGAAGATAACAGATTTTGGAAGCGATGAAAAAACTACTACAAATGAAGAAAATATTGACGAAACATACGGAATTAACGTACAATTTGAAGAAAGTAGCGAAGAAGATGACGAAGATGTTTATGGAGAAGTTAGAGAAAATGATGATGAAGGCGATGAAGGCGAAGAAGCTAATGATGATAGAGCTATTCATGCAGAAAATGTAAATATATATGCAATATGATTTATTTCAATGAATATGAAAATATTTGGTGATAAATTATTGTGTTATTCTTTAGTTGGGTGGTGCAGAAGAAATGAAGAAAGAGAAGCCATTACATCCTTTGGATATAGATGCATATTGGTTGCAGAGAAGATTAAGTAGGATATATGATGATGCAATGGTCTCACAGGCAAGGGCTGCAGAAGTATTGGCAGTTTTAAAAGATGCTGGAGATGATCGTGATTGTGAAAACCAGTTAGTGCTTTTGCTAGGTTACGACTGCTTCGACTTTATTAAACAACTCAAGAAATATAGACATACGAGTAAGAAACGTTTTTCAGAAAAACGCATTAACAATTTGTGAATACATATAATATAATTACATATTTTTGTTAATTGCAGTTGCTTATTGTACTATGTTGGCATCTTCACAATCTGAATCAGAACGTCAAAAGATTCGAAATAAAATGAATGATGAACCTGTATTAGCAAAAATTTTGCGACAGTTAGATACAGGTAAAGGTGATGATGATGCTGATGAAACGATGGAAGCAAGGGCACAACGTAAACGGAGAGAAGAAAATGAAGATACTGGCGGCCCTGGTGGGCAAGTTCAAGGCACAAGAAATCTAATAGATCTAGAAGACTTGATATTTGCACAGGGCAGTCATTTTATGGCAAACAAACGTTGTCAATTACCTGATGGAAGTTTCAGGAAACAGCGTAAAGGGTATTTATATTTACTTGAAAATTATCTGATATTTTTTATTTCAACCATTTATTAAATTTTTGTATTATTTGCCTTTTATTTATTTATTTATTTTTCTAGATACGAAGAAGTTCATGTTCCCGCTTTGAAACCAAAACCGTTTGCAGACAATGAGAAACTGTATCCAATTGACCAATTACCAAAATACGTGCAACCAGCTTTTGAAGGTTTTAAAACATTAAATCGAATTCAAAGTCGTTTGTTTCAAGCTGCATTAGAAAGCGATGAAAATTTATTGCTGTGTGCACCAACGGGTGCGGGTAAAACCAATGTCGCTCTTTTGTGTATGATGCGTGAAATTGGGAAACATATTAATGCAGATGGCACGATTAACGCAGATGAATTTAAAATAATTTATGTTGCACCAATGCGCTCTTTGGTACAAGAAATGGTTGGAACTTTCGGTAAAAGATTATCTACGTATAATTTAACCGTGTCGGAGTTAACCGGTGATCATCAATTAACGCGGGAGCAGATAGCTGCAACTCAGATTATTGTCTGCACTCCCGAAAAATGGGATATTATAACTCGAAAAGGAGGAGAGAAAACCTTCACTTCATTGGTCAGATTAATTATTATTGATGAAATTCATTTGCTGCACGATGAGAGAGGCCCTGTTTTAGAGGCTTTAGTAGCTAGGACAATTAGAAATATTGAAACAACGCAGGAAGATGTAAGACTAATTGGCCTCTCTGCAACATTGCCAAATTATCAAGACGTCGCGGCATTTTTACGTATTAAACCAGAATCAGGATTGTTTTATTTTGATAATAGCTTTAGACCTGTCGCGTTAGAGCAGCAATATATAGGTGTGACAGAGAAGAAAGCATTGAAACGTTTTCAAGTAATGAATGAGATTGTTTATGAAAAAACAATGGAACATGCTGGCAGGAATCAGGTTCTAGTTTTTGTGCATTCGCGAAAAGAAACTGGAAAGACGGCACGCGCTATTAGAGATATGTGTTTGGAAAAAGACACGTTAGGACAATTCCTTCGAGAAGGATCCGCATCGATGGAAGTTTTAAGAACAGAAGCCGAGCAAGTTAAAAATCAAGAACTGAAAGATTTGCTACCTTATGGGTTTGCCATTCATCATGCTGGTATGACAAGGGTAGACAGAACATTAGTTGAAGATCTTTTCGCGGACAGACATATACAAGTTCTGGTATCCACGGCGACTTTAGCTTGGGGTGTCAACTTACCAGCACATACAGTTATCATAAAAGGAACTCAAGTCTACAATCCGGAGAAAGGCAGATGGGTTGAATTAGGCGCGTTAGACGTGTTGCAAATGTTGGGCAGAGCTGGTCGTCCGCAATATGATACGAAAGGTGAAGGTATTCTTATCACGAATCATAGCGAACTTCAATACTATTTATCTCTACTAAATCAGCAATTACCCATTGAGTCACAATTAATTAGTAAAATGTCAGATATGTTAAATGCAGAGATAGTACTAGGCACTATACAGAATATTAGAGATGCAGTTACTTGGGTAGGGTACACATACTTGTACATTAGAATGCTTCGCTGTCCAAACTTGTATAGTATAAGCCAGGATAAGTTAAAGGAAGATCCGTTACTTGAACTACACAGAGCGGATCTTATTCATTCTTCCGCAGTGGGGTTAGATCGCAGTGGCCTGATTAAATATGATCGAAAATCTGGCAATTTCCAAGCCACTGAACTAGGTCGGATAGCGTCACACTATTATTGCACTCACGAAACGATGGCTATATACAATCAGTTGTTGAAACGCACTCTAAGCGAGATTGAATTGTTCAGAGTATTCTCATTATCCAGCGAGTTCAAGCATATAAACGTCAGAGAAGAAGAGAAGCTGGAATTGCAAAAGTTGATGGAGAGAGTGCCAATCCCAGTGAAGGAGAGCATAGAAGAGGCAAGCGCCAAGGTCAATGTACTTTTACAAGCGTATATCTCTCAATTAAAACTCGAAGGTTTCGCCCTCATGTCGGACATGGTATTCGTTACTCAATCCGCATCACGATTGATGAGAGCCATTTTCGAGATCGTATTGTTTCGTGGCTGGGCGCAGCTAGCGGACAAGTGTCTGTCTCTCTGTAAAATGATAGATCGCAGAATGTGGCAGTCAATGTCGCCTCTCAGACAGTTCAGAAAGATGCCAGAGGAGATTGTGAAGAAGATAGAGAAGAAGAATTTCCCATGGGAGAGGTTGTACGACTTAGGGCCAAATGAAATCGGCGAACTGATCCGAGTGCCTAAGCTGGGTAAAACTATTCACAAGTATATTCATCAGTTTCCAAAGCTGGAGTTATCGACGCACATTCAGCCAATTACCCGGTCAACATTAAGAGTGGAACTGACCATCACACCAGATTTCCAATGGGACGAAAAGGTACACGGCGCGTCTGAGGCATTTTGGATTTTAGTCGAAGACGTGGATTCTGAGGTGATACTACACCACGAGTACTTCCTGCTCAAGGCCAAGTACGCGACTGACGAACACCTGATTAAATTCTTCGTTCCTGTATTTGAGCCGCTGCCGCCGCAGTATTTCTTACGCGTGGTGTCAGACAGATGGATCGGAGCGGAAACACAGTTGCCCGTCAGCTTTCGACATTTGATTTTGCCAGAGAAGAATCTACCACCGACCGAGCTGCTCGACTTACAACCGCTCCCGATCACCGCGTTACGTAACTCGAAGTTCGAGAACATCTACGCGGATAAATTCCCGCAATTCAATCCGATTCAGACGCAGGTGTTCAATGCCATTTACAACTCGGACGATAACGTTTTCGTTGGCGCGCCCACAGGTTCTGGGAAGACGACCATCGCAGAGTTCGCCGTGTTACGTTTACTGACGCAAAATCCAGAAGGGAGGTCCGTATACATGGTCAGTAAGGAAGCTCTGGCAGAGTTGGTTTACGTGGATTGGTCGACGAAGTTCAATCAGCAATTAGGCAGGAAGGTGGTACTTCTGACCGGCGAGACCGGGACCGATTTGAAATTGCTTGCGAAAGGGCAGATCATAATTACCACTGCTGACAAATGGGACGTGCTGTCGCGAAGATGGAAACAAAGGAAAAATGTACAGAACATCCAGCTGTTCATCGTTGACGAGCTTCAGTTAATTGGCGGGGAGGAAGGGCCTGTGTTGGAAGTCGCGTGTTCAAGAGCGCGGTACATTTCTTCGCAGTTGGACAAACCGACTAGAATCATAGCATTGTCCGCTTCGCTCGCTGATGCGAAAGACGCTGCTCAGTGGCTGGGTGCACCGGCTGCTGCAACATTCAACTTTCATCCGTCAGTCAGGCCAGTACCTCTGGAGTTACACGTGCAAGGAATAAATATTACCCACAACGCGTCCAGGTTGGCTGCTATGGCAAAGCCAGTGTACAACGCTATACTCAGACACGCGTCTCACAAACCCGTGATTGTTTTCGTACCTACTCGCCGTCAAGCCAGATTAACAGCCATTGACTTGTTAACTTTCACAGCAGCCGAGGGGCAACCTTCTCGGTTCTTCCACGCGGAAGAAGCTGACATCAAGCCGTTCTTGGACAGGATGACCGACAAAACGTTGAAAGAGACGCTTTCCCAAGGTGTTGCTTACCTTCACGAAGGTCTGTCCGTGGACGACCGCCACCTCGTCGAACAGCTTTTCGATAGCGGCGCTATTCAAATAGCTGTTGCCACGAGAGATCTCTGCTGGGGTTTGTCCATCAGTTCTCACCTTGTCATTGTTATGGATACTCAATGTTACAACGGGAAGACACACGCGTACGAAGATTATCCAATCACCGACGTTTTGCAAATGGTAGCGCGCGCGAATCGCCCATTGGAGGACGACGATGCCAAATGCGTTCTTCTCTGCCAGAGCTCGAAGAAAGACTTCTTTAAGAAATTCCTGAACGAACCTCTGCCCGTGGAGAGCCACTTGGACCACCGGTTACACGATCACTTCAACGCAGAGATCGTGACTAAAACGATTGAGAACAAACAAGATGCGGTTGACTATCTTACGTGGACCTTCTTGTACAGGCGGCTCACGCAGAATCCGAATTACTACGGGTTACAGGGCGTGACGCACAGGCATTTGTCGGATCATCTGTCCGAATTGGTGGAGAGTACCCTGAGTGATTTGGAACAAGCAAAATGCGTTGCCGTGGAAGACGAAATGGACACTTTGCCTTTAAATCTCGGCATGATCGCCGCCTATTATTACATCAATTACGCAACGATTGAGTTGTTCAGCCTTTCGTTAAATAACAAGACGAAGATCAGAGGTCTGCTGGAGATTATCTCAGCCGCGGCCGAGTACGAGACCGTGCCAGTACGGCAGCGTGAAGAAAATTTGTTAAGGAGCTTGGCAACGAGGCTTCCGCATGCACCTCAGGCTGCGAGGATGGCTGACCCTCACGTCAAGGCGCAACTTCTGCTGCAGGCGCATCTGTCCAGAATACAGCTTGGCCCGGAGCTGCAGAAAGACACGGAATTGGTGTTAAGCAAGGCTATAAGATTGATACAGGCCTGCGTCGACGTTCTCAGCTCGTCTGGTTGGCTAGCTCCTGCTGTGGCTGCTATGGAACTGGCGCAAATGGTTACCCAAGCAATGTGGTCTAAAGACTCTTATCTGAAACAGTTGCCACACTTCACAGCCGAGACCATCAAACGTTGTACAGACAAGGGAGTGGAAACAGTGTTTGACGTAATGGAATTGGAAGACGATGATAGAAACCGGCTTTTACAGCTGTCTGAGACTCAGATGGCTGACGTTGCGAAATTTTGCAACCGTTATCCGAACATAGAAATGTCCTACGAGGTTCAGGACAAAGATAAATTGCGCAGCGGTGGTACGGTGAATGTTATTGTGCAGCTTGAAAGGGAAGACGAGGTCACAGGCCCAGTTGTAGCGCCCTTCTTCCCGCAGAAGCGCGAGGAGGGCTGGTGGGTTGTTATCGGCGATCCAAAGACCAATTCTTTGTTGTCTATCAAGAGATTGACACTGCAGCAGAAGGCAAAGGTCAAGCTCGATTTTGTAGCACCTGCTCCTGGCCAACATTCCTACACTCTGTACTTCATGAGCGATGCTTACTTAGGTTGCGACCAAGAATACAAATTTACTATCAGTGTAGAAGAGTATGAATCCGACGTCAGTTCAGGGTCAGAATCGGACTAAGAAAAGAAGAATTAAAAAGATATTTATCAAGTATTGTACGCATTGTACAAGGAAGTGTCAGTTTTTCAGTGAATTTAATTTGTCATATTCAAGCAAAAAAACAATAATATATACACGATAGTATACACACACACACATATATATTATTATATACTATTAAGTATGTCATAAAATGATAGTCTTTATATTAAAATTAAGTACAAAAGATATTTCATTTAGTCGATATGAGAATCAAAAATTGCCTTTTCCATTGATTCAAATTCCATCACTCATCATTCGAAATCAGAAAGATTTCCGCTTCAAGCAGATTATGTAATGAATGTTCACGTAAATTCATTCGTTTACAACATTCGGTTTCCAGTCCATTTTGTTTGGATCTTCTATGAATTTTCTACGAATGTAAATCTATGAATTGAAAAGATAAAGTTTATAAGGTACAGATTTGGGAAGTATGACGAGTGGTTGAAGATTGAAAAAGTGGTGAAAATGTGGTGTACGTCCAGAATTTGTGTGTATCTTCGTATTTTTGTAATCCAACACCTACGTTGACATATTTCTGTTAAAATGAATTGCGACACGATGGTCAAAATTGAAAAGAACGAAACGAATGGTAGTCAGAGGTAACTGTAGTGCCGTTAGTTTTATTAAAAATCATCATAATTGTACGAAATGCTGTAAATATATCTTTAGTCATCTTTTTCCCCCGAGATTTGCCTGATCTCCCCTGCTCTGGTCCATCGATCCTCCACGTAAATGCATCTTGCTTCGTACAGTTTGAAGCTGATGCGAACAATGATTAAAAATCGTTTCAGAAATGAGATGTGAAATATCAGTCGCAGTTGAATCGAATTGCCTGTACTTGAATTCGCGTGGTTGGAACAGAAAGTCGCGTGGGTAATAGTATTTCAACTAGTTGGCCGTCTAATTGATTGATTGTCCAGACGCCAGCTGCGTTATTCTCGCAATATCCGCTTTCGGAAGTATCTCTTTGCAGGCGTTTAACATGTAGCGTCTTTAGAGGTATATTCAAATAAAAAAAAAAAGGATTTTACAACTATTCCGCTGATAACTATCTTCACTTGTTCTGCGAAGATCATCTGAAAATAAATGGAAAGTTATTTCAAGAAATTATCTACGATATTCACATGTTATAATAGGGCCGAGTATAATGTAATTCATATATTATAATATAAGCGATTATCTTTCTTAATTTTCAAAAGATGGCATTCTAATCAGAATGTTGTAACTATTGGTCTTTGATTCGTCGATTGAAACGCATAATACGATAGTGATGCATGCCTGTGCTATAAGAAGCCTCGATAATTTTCAAGTTAACGTGCAATTCATCATCATGATAAAAGATTGCTCTCTAATGTCGCGTTATACGAGAGGATCTTCACTCCCTCTTAGGAGGAAATCAAGGAAAGGGACTCTCACTTTGTCAGTACTCTCGCCAGTTAGTCAGCGAGATGACGCGTAAAGAAGCACTTCCTGTGTTATCGTTGTTAATATTCTGTGCCGCAATATTTGAAAGGAACGCTTTCGCATCGGTCGAAATCAACGAAAGTGCTACGGGGAAGAAAGGTATCGAAGGATGTGTCGAATGTGGCGATTACAGGTGATTAATAAGATTAGAAATTTGTCTACTTAGATGTACATTACATTTTGTACTCTAATACATACAGGGTGTCCAGAAAGATTGGGACCAAACCTAGACTAAGTGTTACCGAAGTCGAGTAGACGAAAAATGTTCGTATAAACTTACGTCTGAAAATTATTGAAAAGACATATGCTTTTAAAGATATTTATGATTTATTATGACAGTTATAAGTCCTCAGTATCGTGAAGATTATTTTGCAATAATCTCATTGAGAATTTGTAATACGTATACGAATTATTCTGTACAACGAACTTCGTCCATAAATCTTTGAACGTTTATATCTTGTCAATTTTCGGGCATAAGTTTATACCAAACTTTTTTCGTCTATTTGACCTCGGTAACACGTAGTCTAAGTCGTGTCAATTTTAATTTTAATTTGCCGTTTGTCTCGATGGACGGCCAAGTCCAGAGAAGGTCAAAGTGACTATAAATCAAAGTTGTAGTAAATTTTCTTTTACTCGCTATATTTTTGTGAATTTTCATACACACGTAGGTGTCCGGGAAATTCTGAGAAATGTTTACTGGGCTCTGTTCTCGATCCCTGCGAATGTTGCGCAAACGGTATATGTGCTCGATTAGATGGCGAATCCTGTTGGAATTCTACTATTCCCGGATTGCCCTCCAGACACCGTAACGACGGCCAGTGCGCAAGAAATTACGAATGCAGATTAAGGACGGACCTCCGAGAGCAGGTATTCGTCAAAAATTAAATATTATTCAACCAATTTCCGTACAAGTAATCCAGTTTAAGTACGTGTTTTTCTTCAAACGTATGTTCATTCATGATTACAGAGAAATGACTGGCCGTCAATATATTATGCTTTTCCCAAAAATTGATCGTTTCTTTTTAAAAGAAATTTTTTTCATTGTGTCACACAGGACGAACCACAAGCCATTTGCGTTTGTATGGAACAAACGCCGGCGTGTGGCAATGACAATAAAACGTACACGACACCGTGCGCGCTGCACGAAGAGGCAATGAGACGGAAAAGTTCGTCGTTTCTGACGTTGCAGCATCTTGGCCCGTGTCAAAGCCGTCCGTGGATTTTATCTCCGTTGGAGGATGTTTTGTCGATGTTTGGCCAACGGCTGGCGTTGAACTGCGAGGCAAAGGGCTTCCCTGTTCCCGAGATTTTTTGGGAATTTCACGCGGCAGACGGGAGAACGGTGTTGAAATTACCAGGTACACTCTTGAGAGAGATTAAACGTAACGTAAACGTTAACGCAGGCAAGTAATTTACGATGTTTCAACGTCGACAGGCGAAGCACAGGGAGCGACAGTTCACAGCAGCGTCGGCCCCGAACCATTTACGCGAACATCGTGGATGCAATTACCTCGCGTCACTAAAGAGTATACTGGCATGTATCATTGCATTGCCAAAAATTCGTGGGGCGAAGCCAGTAGTACGTCTTTCGTTTCCATGTTGGAACGCTAAATGTATGTTTTATATTATTATTATTATTATTTTTTTTATTATTTTTACACGTGTATCGCATTTTGTAAGAGTTGAATAAATCACCACGAGTGCTTGTGAAAAGTGAAGGATTTGATTACACAGATTAGGGAAAATTGTTCGAACGCACAACATACATGTTGAATCATTTCGTTTCATACATACTTTTGTACTTAATTTCTTAATCTAGATGGATTGTATAGCGTGTATATATATATATATATATATAGTATTGCTCGAGTCGAAACTTCCAATGTACCTCGAGCTATCGCCCCTACCACAAAATAGCAAATTACCCAGCCTGGACTTCAGAACTATTGGAGGAGGATGGTGAGCAGAATATATCGCTGTGACAACTTTTCATGGTATCATTCGTTATAAAGAGTCGAGGGAGAACTTTTCCAACCGCAAGCAGTCTTTTTCTTCTCGCTGGACGGGCAACATTATTTTATGCATCAGTTTCAGCAAAAAAGAAAAAAAAAGAAAAGTTGTTGAAACGTGTGCAGACAGGTAAGTTAATCAATCGTCACGTGACTAGAGAAATAGTACATTTATTGGAATTAATAGTGACAGTTTTACGTCTCAAATATTTTTTACCATGTCGTTAATTAGAACTTTCGCAAGCGTTGATTATTGATTGCAAAACGTGATTATGCATCATTATGCAGAAACGAGGCTATATGAACGAACAACATTTCTGATCGTTATTGCCATCCTTCCTCGGGTGGTGGCGGCGGCGGTGGCCTGAAAACGAATCGACGAGTGAGATTTAATTGAAATATGTTCAGCCTCAATGAACTGCTGTGCATGTTAGAAACGAAGAATTTCACTTGTGGCCCTTGAGTGTGATTACGGCACAATGGAACATATTCTGAAGCTGCTCTTTACGCGAAATGCAGTACTGCTTGGATGAGTAATTGTGAATTGGGTCTGTGTGATCGTTCAACTGTGTGAGTGAGATAAACAAGTAGCAAGCTACATCCGAGCTTAACGTAATCGGTTTACTGGAAATAGCAACGACAATCTTAGGCACACCTGACGAATCATCTCACCAGAGATCATTTAGGTATTTATATTTTCCATCAAGTTTTTATTTCCGTTTGCAAAATTTATGGAAAGTTTTAATAACTTTCAAACACCTCAAATGGTATTTTACGTCAAAGGAAATATTGTTTATAACTTGTTAAAAAAATGCTTACTCGGGTGTATTCCAATTTTCTTGTTCATTAGTTTCGGTCGGAGGATCTTCTCTGAAAAATACACACAATTATATTGTATAATGATATCAGCCGCCAGTGACAATGCCAACGGATAAGCTTTTGATGCTTACGTTCTTGTAGTTACAAGATTAGCATTCTTTACGACAGATGGAAATTTTTTATACACCAGGGACAAAACGTGAGCGGTTGGCGTGCTCGCTATCATAATAACTATGCATAAGAACGTGGCAAACCAGAATCCACTCTGAACAGTTAAAAGAGAAAGAAACATAAAAATGTTGCTTAATCAATAACATTTTCACAAGCATTTTTTTTACAATGTCTCGCGACACATACGTACCAAATTACCTAGAAAGTGACTACACAGTAATAGTTTGATTCCTTCCATCACGTCCCAAAGTGGTCGACACTTTGCTACACCGTTACCCATTTCAGACAGCACGTGGAATCTCCATTGATCCAGGTAATTGGCCAGCCGATCCGTGTAGAACTTTGTTTTCTGTGTAACGATTACATAAAGTGTAAGATCATCTTGTTAGGAGAATTCAAAGTGGCCAGAACCAAAAACAACAGGTACCAATTGAGCAATCTTATCACCCTGGCTGTCGATGTAATATTGAATGGTCTTCAAGTTGGCGAGCGAATCATTGATCAGCTGTTGCAGTGGCTTTACTTGCAATTCTAGCGCAGCCAGTTTATACAACAGCTCGTCTTGAAATCTCATCAACGGTTTCACTCGCCTTTGATTCAAATCTTGCATATTTATCACGATAGTTTCCAAGCTTCTGGCTGTTAGCCTGTCGCTCATTTGTTCGGTAACTTTGTCCAATTGATCTGACAACGCCTCCAAGTCTTTGTTTAATATTCGTTCCTGGACCTGACGACAACAACAACATCGAAATAACGCTACCCATGGAAATATTAAACGCGAACAAAGGATCTACAATACCGCGACTCTGTGCTCCGTTAAATTCAGTCCGCAAGCATACAGCAAATTATGCAGTTGCTGTTGCAAATACGGCGTAAATATTCTCAGTGTCTTCAATTGAACTTTGATTTTTAATATAATCCTGGTAAAGCCTGACCAAGTCCAATACGCAGTGAGCTGCTCTAATTTCATCGTGTTCCCTAATCCAAATGCTGGATACGCCGGTTCGTTTTCACGACATTTTCTGCAATTTCACATTTCGTCAGTTAATCCTCAATAATTTTTAATCGCTTGGTTAAAAGACAACTTACTCGAGTAGGTCTTTCAGAGGTATGCTTAATCTTTTCCCTAAGAACATTCGAGTCTCCAGGATAGCTTGTATCGTGCTGTAATTCGAATCGTGAAGTGGACGACAGATCAACATTTCAGTGTGACTCGACAGTATTAAAGTTACGAGGAACACTGCCCACAATATGATCGAGATGATACATGCCATGAATGCGCCACTGAAATGGAGAAAGTGACGTGTCGAACGTCTTTACTAAGAAGTTATTTCTTGAATTTATATGAAAATATAGTATATACTTATATATTTATAATATGTTTATATAAAAATATAATAGAAATATAATATGTTTATATAAAAATATAATAGAAATATAATATGTTTATATAAAAATATAATAGAAATATATGTTTATATAAAAATATAATAGAAATATATGTTTATATAAAAATATAATAGAAATATATGTTTATATAAAAATATAATAGAAATATATGTTTATATAAAAATATAATAGAAATATATGTTTATATAAAAATATAATAGAAATATAATATATTTATATAAAAATATAATATATTTACATAAAATATAATATATTTCTATAAAAATATAAATATTTACATAAAAATATATATTTACATAAAATATAATATATTTGTATAAAAACATAATATATTTACATAAAAATATATTATATTTATATAAAAATATATTATATTTATATAAAAATATAATATATTTACATAAAATATAATATAGTTATATATAATATAATATAGTTATATATAATATAATATATTTACATAAAATATAATATATTTATGTAAAATATAATATATTTACATAAAATATAATATATTTACATAAAAATATAATATATTTCTATAAAAATATAATATATTTGTATAATATTCCAAGAATGTATTTCTTACATATACATATACATTTCATTAAAATCGACGTGTCTGCGTCTGGAATGCTCCGATTATTAATTAACATACACACCATAAAAGCGTAGGCCGTACTTTATCTCCGGAAGAGCCGCAGCGACAAGAAAGAGCTCCCAGCAATAACAGCCAGATAAGTAAGATGCATAAAACGGCACCTGTAGAAAGCAGTTAACAAAAGTCACTTGCCGCTGTGGTTATTTCACATTTCTTTTATATTTATTTACATGTAATACTTTTCTCTACGTAACGAGATTTAATTTCAAACAAAAGATTAACAGTTAGAAGAGATTATACATCACTTACCGATACCTATCAGCCATCTGACGTGCTCGAAGACTATTATATACGGCGTCGTATAATCTACCAGATGTCTTGCAAATTCCAGTTGCTTGACGAGCTCGGAATTGCTCGCCTCCATGTTTCGTGCCTCGTCGAAGATCCTCGCACGCATTTTATTCACTTCACGTCGAATTTCTGAAAGAAAAAACTCCTCCCGTGCATCTTCTAAATCCAATTGGGGATACTACATCCCCTCATGCAATATTAATGAATACGTTTCTACTTACGATTCCGAATTTCCAGGCTGTTTCTTGCAATATGCTGCGGAATGTACATGTACTCTCCGCGGGCTTGACGGATGGTTTCCGTAAAATTTTCTCGCTTGAAGTCGCGCAGATATTGCAAACGATTGTCCCTGAGGAACTGCAAATGTACAACGGTCAGAGTGTTGTTCTTCATTGCCGCTTCTTCGCACGGAGGATTGAATTTACCTGATCAATCCGTAAAGTTAGTCGTAACCCGGAAGAATCAACGATGGTGCACAGAGGACGATCTTGACCGGTGCAAGCTCTCAACGCGCTTTCCAAATTTCGACGCAAGTCGTCCATTTCTCTGCTCAGCTGCTTCCCGCGACTACGAATGTTTTCACCGTCGCTCAACAGAGATTCGACGTTGCTCGAAACTCTGTGACTAGCTGAAACAATGCAATAATATCACAGCGGCGAGCATCACGATATGCGATGAAGCTGTCTCACCATTTACGAGATCCAGAAGCATGTTTAACGTGTTGTCCAATCCTGTCTCAGTGGACAATTCACTCTGCACCGGTTTCCCCAATAACTCTTCGATATCTGCGAATATCAATAACTAGCGTTTTATTTAAAATCGATTGTCTTGATATCGATATTTGAGATATGTAATCAAGCTTCGAACGTGGCCGGGAGCTTTAGATGTTGGCGGTTAGTTGAGACACGAGTCATTTTTCGAGTGACAATTAAGGGGAAATCGACCCTCTACCTTTTGAACGCTCGTCGCGTGATTGAGCGCTTGGCGCATTGTACTAAGGAGAATGCACCTCAATTCCGGTTCTGAGGTAGTCAGGCGACATACTAGAGATTACTCCTCAGTTACTATCAGCGTTCGATATTCGTGAATATTCCAGCATAGTTACCGTGGTGTGCAACGCGCGACATTCATTATTAAACGAACCGATCGCCTCGTCGTTCGCCAACCGTACGTGTATAAATCTTTCAATTTTTACACCGCAATCATATTTTCTATCCTGTCTTCTAAATGTGGGCAAACAATTCACGGGTATTTTTTTTTTTTTTCTGATTCTATGCATATAAGGTTTCATCAAAATCGACATGTGTCACTCACAATTAGTTCGATAATGTCCCTCCATCCGTGTTACTCTCGGGTATTGGACCCCCTTTTGTACGTTGATTGCGAACATTTATGGCTTAACCGTTGGATTAAAAAAAAAAAAAAAAAGAAAGAAAGGAATTGTCATTTTTTCTGTCTACTTTTGTAGGTAGGTAACACTATAGAAGTTAAATTGCCCTGACTCGCCATTATTCGGGACGATTTGCACCATCTAACCGACAGATTACATTGTTGATAACAATATTCTTACTTATCAGTACGTAACACGATAGCATCAGGCTTTGTACAGTGACAAACGCACATAATACGATCTCCTGTATTGTTCACACTAACGAGCTCAATTTGCAGGACTGGTTAAGCTATTAACGACGATAGACCCATTATAAGATATTTAGTATCTCTATAGCTTTCATTACACGTACATGAATGTTCTAATTTCACCGTTCACCGGTGTCATTGGACAATATCGCGCAAATCTTTTGCCATTTTGGGCAGAGAAGGGGCAAACCCGGTTTCCCAATCCCCTTTTACATCGTATTCTTTCTACTTTACCTATTTCTTTTGAAATTATATTTATCAATCAAGTGCATTATCTCGAAGCATATACGATATAATTGCAGGACCACTCACTATCTAAATCCGCAAGGATTGCCTCGCTGGCCACATCCAGGCTCCTCGAGAGACATTTGCGTAATTGAATTGTCGTGCTGCTGTGGTAATCGTTTAAGTCTTGCAGGGCAGTCTCGACGACGATTGGAAATTTTTCCACGCTCGCCGATATCGTTTCGTTGCACACGATCATCGTGATCATGCCGAATCTAAAGGCAAATTAAACAAATTTACTTGAGGAGCGTCTTGTCACACGTTGGTAATTTCTATTATTCTACAAATCGAACGTGGAAGCTAAACTAAAATTTCACACGGTTCATTTCTTTTTCTTTTATTTTTTCATTTCTTTGTACTTGTTGCAGAGCAAAAATTTACATACAAAAATTTCGCAGTCAATATTTGCAGTTGACGCTTACCCGAGTATGCAGACGAAAAATGCGAGAGAAAACGTAAGCACGCTAGGATGTTGACTCGGTTTGTAATCCTCCCTTATTGGACGACATGCAAGCCAAAGCTCTATTCCAGGTATTACACAGCATAAAATACAGCACATACCGAACACTACTAACAACGTTGCTTCTAGGTGTACCGACTGCAACAGTCAAACAAGAAATCCCAATCTGCTTAATATTTTCTCACTGTATTACTTTAGCAAGATGTAACGTGAACATTGGGAAATAGTGAGACGTTACCTCTGAAATCAATCTTGACGTATCCACTCGGTTCTCGATCGCGTCTGTTAATAAATCTGAGGAACGACGTAAAACAAGTAATGATATAAATAATAAATAACAAATGAGTAACAAAGATTTTGATGTTGTACACTTTACCAACAGGCACGTCATAAGGTTGAATAAGCGACAGAAATTTCCTTAGGAAATCGAAGACAAACATTCCTCTGTCTAATTGTAGATTTGCCATTTTATATTGTTTCTCGGAGCTAGTTGTAGGAAATTTGAGTTTCGGAGTCCAATTGTTCCAGTCAATAGGTGTCTTCAAATGTGAAATGTTCGTGTCGTTTCTAGGCCCGTCGATTGGAACATCGGCTACGACTTCTCTCTCGTCGCGTTGCGTTTCACTTGGCGTGCGAAAAATAACGAAACTGTCCGTGGTGCTGCAATTATTGCTGTCTGAGAACGAATTTGCTTCAACGATGCCTTCGTATTGACCTAGAGTGCCTGAGGCAAAGAATAATACGAATATTCCTGAAATACATAGAAAGGTTTGTTTATCGAAAGTCAGAAACTATAGCCATGGCGAGATTGAAACACGTTGAAATTTGTATTAATTTACATTTGCCATACGTAGTAAGTAAAAGAAACCAAAATACGAAGTAACGCTCACCTCTCAGAAACATCATTCCCTTTTTCACTGTAATGCTATAGTTTTTTTCGATATATATTCTTCGATAAGGTATGTAATGTAACACGGAAACAGTGGCACGACCCTGTTGAATCGTGGCTATATGTGAACTGACACTCGAAAGATTTGTGAAGGCTTCTCTGAAACCCTGCAAGTGTGGATGTTGTTGAACCCTAATGGGAAAGATATAAAAACACGCGCATATGTATAACGTTAAGAAATGAAAAATATGGAAGATAAAAATACATGGTACGTACAAGTAGTAGTACATACAAAAATACAAAAATACATAGATAAATGTACATATGGACGAAAGTATATGAATATAAAAATATACTGAGTTTTGGTATTAAATTTCGTCGTTGGTCTCCTTCCTCGACGTCCGATACGTGTATGTACGCGTTCAATATTAAAAATTCTTCTAAAGTTCGTACTTTGCGACGTGGAATTTGAAGTTAAATTAGCGCGCGCGAATGTATATAGATTTAAATTCCGAATAAACCGCGCGAATCCTAACTCAAAGCTCATTGGTCAACCTGTAGCGTGTTTGGGGGGGAGTGGGTCATTCGACTGTCGAAAGTCGTCACGCAAGGACGTGTAACGTCAGGTGTGTTTTTATAACGTATTGATCATGTAATATCCTTTATTGCCACTTTTGTAAGCATTGTAAGTGTATTGTTATTATCTTCGTTTTATTACTATATGCGTATTTCATCATTTATCATGTACATTTACGTAGTGAAATTACGTGGTGTTCCAAAGTGACAGTTCTTCTGTTTTATTGGTTACGTATTTGATTTTTTGTTGTTTTTTTCGAATTACTTGTATTTTGTATTATGAGTTCTTAAATTGGGATTAAAGTCAAGCTATTATTTCATGTTGTTATAATTGATTTTAATTGTTTCGTATTCTCGGCTTCTTTTACAGAATATCCGTTGATCACGTGGGTAGTTTCGAACGAATAGCAGTTTAGCAACATGGCGCCAAAAACGGTTAATCGACGATTCCGATCATTTTCGCTGTGGATTTGATTTATTATACGGTGAAGATACGTTTGTGACTCACAATTAATGTAATACTCGTAATTAATTAATATACAATAACATTTAATATTGATACTGTGTAGTTCATAAGTATATAGGAATGTATATAACTAAATGATGAATAACTTCATATTCAGAATACATTCAGAGATGAAAATTTATAAGAATTTTCATATATTTCGAAATGTATTTCATTATTTTATTTCACTGTAATTAAATGAATTATTTTACACTTATTCTACAATAATTTACTGCAAATAATCGATTTTATGAATAAATTTTAATACGCCACGTTTTGTTACAGGTTTTTTTATAACCTCAATTTCTTCCTATTGATCAATGATGCTTCAAAAGTCAGTGATGTAAGTACCTTTATGAACTGTATTTCAAGCAACTTTGCTTTCTGTATGTTATTTTAATTCTCATTACTGAAGAAAAAAACAAAATTTCATTAAAAGTTTGAAAAGTTTGAACTTTCGAATTGAATACTGTCATTAAACTATTGTGCTCTATATTCTGTTTTAGATTTTTTACTTCTTCCATGGAATTCCACAGTTTCTGTTTAATGACGAGCTTCACGGTTACTTACCCTCGTACAACAATGACGAATCTTCGCATCGAATCGTGAGTCGCATGTGTTTTTGTTCCTCTGGTCGCTCAATCATGTCGTAGGATGAAAGGTCCGAATCGACACGGGTGACTAGTTGCACTACGTAGAATTTTCGACGAGCATAGTGACCGCGAGTATTTATTATACTCGCGAGTAGTAACATTTTCTTGTCTGTTTTATTTATTAGTTTAGGATAGGTCTTCTTACATATCGCGTGTTTTAACGATTAAAATTCCAAACCAATAATGTTGCTGTAATTTCAGCATAATCAAATTAAATTCAAGTATAATTTCTCGCTGCAAATGTAAAAGGACATTTCGCGACAAGCAGATTTCTGAATCAAAGCAACAAATTTTAAATATTGCTTTCACGTGTTCGAAAATGTGCTTTGACAAAGTAATTGCTTGAGGCTATTTTCTTTATCAATTAATATCAATTAATAACGTTCATTGTATTGAATTGGATTAAGTATATATACACGGTTCTTATTCGTTCTTAATTTTTTTTTCATACTTTAGAGTTTCAATGATTCATCGGATTAGCAAAGTAGAGAATAAACTAAAATAAAATTTGACCGCTCAAAGTAAAAGATCATTAGCCCGTCGAATGAAAAATAATCTTGTCAGTTTTTAGCTCAGGATTTTCAGGTTTAATCCTTTCCTTGTCTATCGCCAGGACCTTGTTCACGTGTCCAGGCGATGGGCATGATGACCGTAGTTTATAAGTTTATAATAATTTTTCAGCAATTGACAATGCGTTAGCGTATCGTGCACGACGTATTTTTCACAGTGTATGTGTGTGTGTGTGTGGTTAGGCTGTGAAATTGCGTCGTTTCGACCATTACTCCATACATGCATGTAATTTAAAATATTTAAATAATCGATAAATATTAACAAAGACAACAATTTAAATTTGAATGTAGATGTATTTTTATCGCGTTTCACGCAATGGTCGCTAACGATCGTCAGTTGATTTCAGGAAAATGGTACGCAAATTAGAGCGTGAAAGTTGTGTGTTAAGTTCGGGTGTCTCGGGACGTTCTCTCTAGAGTAGGTTTGCGCCCGAATGGCATGCATGAGAACCGTGGAGCGAGTGTGTTGGAATGCTTGTCTTTTGCCATTTTTTAAATATAGCAGGAGGGAGGTTGGGTAGGTAGGTGGCATACTTTCTGGCGCGAATGTTAATTATAAGTAGGTAGGGCCAGGGCAAATTGACACAATCTCTGGGACCGTGTGTGCGCATTTTCGCGTGTTCAACTTGCCTCTGGAATTATATAATTTGGAAAATTGACAGCGAAACTGGCACCACAGTGGAGCGTGTCGCTCGTCTCTGGTTTCGCTTGTCGATTATTTCAAATTTCATTGCGGTCGCGGTCGCGAAATGAGTATCGAAACGAGCGTGTATAGTGCTCGAGATTCCACTACACGAGCGAGTAATCATTATGACGATATAAAGTTTCTTCTTTAGAATTGGAAGAATTTCGAGCCTAGATTTAAGTTTCAGCGGGCATGGCGCCCGAAGAGAGAAAAGGCCGAAGAGGCCCGGCAAATTGCCATTAGAAGAGGGCATCTACCAATGTCTTTCCATCCTCTGGATCATCCAGAGAATGGAAAGTCATTTCTGTTGCTACTTTAGTCATTATGCTCGTCTTTAGTGTTCATAGTAACTTGTTACTCAGCTGATATTCTTACTTAATATTACATTGGAAAAATTACGGTATTTTTCATTAGTGTAGCGTTGAGTTATTGATGTCGGTTTGAATTTCGTTTGAGTTTCGAAATTTCATGTTTTGAATTGCCAAATACTACGTTAGTCTGTTGCGATGAAATGACGATCGTGCGAATTCTGATACGTCGCGTTAATATTAATCTCGTAATATTTTTGATCGTGACTTCTTATTTCTTAAATAAAATTACAGTTTTTTCTTTTATTCCTATTGTTATTTTATTTTTCTTCAGATTAATATTTAATTGAATTAAAATTGAATTAAAATTCCAAGGGCAATTCAATATTTCAGTTCTCGAAAATTTAGTTCCAGCAATATCCTTTCTCTTGGAATCTTTATTTTTCAAATTTTAATCTAGAGTAATTATCATCCCAATAATCCTTATTAATTGTCACCTTTTGCACGAGGCTAGCAACTATCTTAATACTTATGAACGAGAGTGCATAACTTCTGCTACCGCGTAGTTTAAAGCTGGGATTTTCTATAAGCGTCGGACTTATGCGTCCATTGCTTTCGGCTACAGGATACAGCGTTCACCAGTGGAGATCTCCTGTTAAAGCCAAATATTTGCATAGCGGTTGTAAGAGTACAGGTGAAAGAGAGAACAATTTTCCATACATAGCGCAATGATCTAATAATTTCTGCACAATAACGTTCAGTTTCAAGATACACGATCAGTGTAATTTTCTGAGTAATTAGTGGAATTATCGTTACGTCTATGAAGTGGAATTGCGCGGAGTGTTTCGCGTCGAGATCAGATAAACGAGCTCTCGAAAATCGCGGCACGAGTGCATTAAAGGGCTGGAAATTGAGCATGTTTAGCCAAGGGTTGGCCAGGGTAAATACGCGCTCGGCGAATTTCAAATTCGATTTCCCCTCGAGCGAGGCCTCGTGCGAGAAAATTTGACACCGCCTAGATTTTCGACCTATATTCGCACGCTCGCATGGTCGGGTATTAGCCAGCACTTGACAAGTTTTCAAACTCGATTCTCTCGAAAATCGACCTTTCGAAGGGAATTTTGTGAATTCTTGATTTCAGCGCGTTAGTTTCAAACTAGTGGGGATCTATCGCCGCAGGAACGTGAAATATTTCGATCGAATATTGTATTTGTGAAACACTTTTCATAAATATCTGGAAAATTAGCGATAAAAGGAAGGCACACTGTTCCGAGAATCTCCTGTTAATTTTTTTTCTTTTCTAATTACTTGGCATCGAGCAGTTCGACAGTTCCCTCTGTACGTTCAGTATGTATTTTGATCGGACGCAGAAGCATGACAGTGACAAAAATTGAATTTCGCTGCAGTATTTATTCTCGATACTGATTTCAAACGTAAATTTTCATACAACGTAAGTTTTGTATCAGTTGAATGAAATTCTGATCAGTTAAATGTAATGTAATTTAAGTGTTAAATCATAAACGTAAAATTCGTCTGCTCGTTGAAATCCAAAACGATGGATCAACTTGTCCAAAACTCCTTACTCGCTGGATTTTCGAGTGGGTGAAATTAATAGCTCCGCCGGCGTATGTACCGTCCACTAAACTAGAATTAACTGAAAAGAGCGTGGCGCCGTCTCTGTCATATACATTTGCCGTGACAAGTTCAGCGTACGATCTGCTTACAATTAGCAGTAGGTATTACTCGCGTAATTTTCGCGCGCTCAGTAACACAAGCTCCTTAACGCTTGGGTTAAGTGGTCTTTAATTTAGAATTCACATTTGTACACCACAGTGTTGAATCTATGAAAATTTCATATCCATCCGGGTTTTTACTAGAATTTCTCGCAGAATGATCTAGCAATAAGTAGGGTGCTTAATACATTTGGTTTCGCAATGAAAAATTAGATGGCAAAAAAAAAGGAAAAATTCGCACGAGGCTAAATCCCGTGCAATAGGAAAAATCGTTTGGCTGGCGAAAAAATAAAATTTTCTGGGGGAAAACAAATACTCGATTTTGTCCCATAGGGGTGGATAAATCCGGGTACCTGTTAAAAGACGTATGAAATGCGATATGGTTGTGAAATTTTTATTTTTATTAGTTAAAAAAACTAATAAAATAGTTTTTAACAATTTTAACTAATGTAAAGTTATTCTATTTGATCTGTCTTAACATGACAAGTTATATTAATTACTAGTTTAGGAACGTTGATAATATATTTTATAAAATACAAAATACAATTTTAGAAAATATGATTTTATAAAATACAAGTATGTAAAATTATATTTTGTTATAATAATAATATATAATAATTATATATTAATATTTTATAAAATACAAATATATAAAGTTATATATAAAATTATATAATACTAATATATAATAATTATACATTAATAGTTTATAAAATTATATAATTTTATAAAATACAAAATACAATTTTACAAAATATGATTTTATAAAATTATAGTTTATAAAATAAAAGTATATAAAATTATATATTGTTATAATAATAATATATAATAATTATATATTAATATTTTGTATTTTATAAAATTATATAATTTTATAAAATACAAAATACAATTTTATAAAATTATAGTTTGTAAAATACAAATATATAAAATTACATATTGTTACAATAATAATTATATATTAATATTTTATAAAATTATATAATTTTATAAAGTACAAAATACAATTTTATAGAATATAATTTTATATTTTATAAATTACAAATTATTTATAAAAGGTTTGAATTATTTTAACATATGTATATCTTAATTAACGAAACAAAAGTCGGTCGCCCTCTTCAATATTTGCTGCTTCAAATTTACATAAAACTTAAACATTTATACTTCATATGAGATGAAAAGGCCAAAATACCTAATAAGGACTACCCCATAGAATACAAATGGATTTTCCCGAATGTAAAAACACTAAAAAGAAAAAAAAAACAATCACATCACTCACGAAACAACGAAACTCTTCAAGTTTCGAAATTTCCCACTCACGTCTGCACGGAACACTACGACGTTGCTTGCTCTGAAACTTGTTACATAACATCACACGTCGCGGAATCCGCTCGAGCATCATGCCATACATAAATCGAACGTTACGTATCGAAGCTCTTATCTTAGAGAAAAAAAACCTAACACTTAAAATCTACAACTGTAATAATTTCAAAAAGAAAAAAAAAACCTAACACCTAAAACCTACAACACCATTAACACCACCATTTACTCGAGAAGTAAAACAGAAAATGGCACACTTGCGTTGCCTTCGCTTTACGTTCTTTCGTGTTCTGACACAGAAACCAAATGCTTGATTAAACAAACGAGCACTCCGATTCAGAGAAAACGCGTAGTTTCCCGCCAGAGATAGAGAGTGGCGTGAATGAATTGATTGAAAATCGATAATAAAAAAAAAAAAAAAAAAAAAAAAAAAAAAAAAAAAGAAAAAAAAAAAAAAAAAGAGGAAAAAGGAAAAAAGAGAAGAGAAAACAGTGGCGGAAGCTAAACGAAACGACCTAATAATTTGCCAAGTAATACACACAGAGTGCAGTGTGTCGTAGGGGTGTGTTCGATGTTTGGCAAAGTGGATCACTCGGTCCCGATCAGTAAAGACCAGGGTGAAGACCAGTATGTATGTATATGTGTGTGTGTGTGTGTGTGTGTGTGTGTGTGTGCAGAGGAGGGTAGTACAGTGGTGGAGGATCGCGCGGGAGTAGGATGGGGTTTTGGCATAGCGGAGCGTGTCGGTGCAGTAGGGGAGAATGGATCGGAATGGGAGAATGGGTGTTCTCTCCCAAGTGTTCGGCTGTCGGGAGCAGCCAGGCGGTTTAGTAGTCAGTGCGTCGTCAGCCTTCGCGTCGTCGTGATGCTCCTCTGTTCTACTCTTCTTCTCTTCTCTTTCTCTGCTTTCGTACCTCCGAGCGGTCTGTTCAGCGGCAACCTCCTCCAGTTGTTGTTGGCACTGTGTCGACTGTGTCGTGTTGTTGTGACACTCTTCCATCCATTTCCGCGTCACGTGACGATCGTCGTCGGCCATCCGTTCGATTAATTTTGCGGTTTCGCTTCTGTTCTCGCCTGTGTCCTGTTCGTTCTGCTCGTTGTTTTTTTCTCGTAAATATATATATATATATATATATGTGTGTGTATCTCGTGCATGTTGTTTTATATTCGTAAAGTTAAAGATATTCACATTCGCGAACGGGCCTTGACACAACAACAGCTTTCTTTCATTTCGCTTCGAATCGGATCGGTCTGGTGGTTTCTCTTGATTCTTGAAAAAAAAAAAAAAAACGGCGGGAGAGGGATTATCACTTCACGCGTGACTGTGTTTCCCTCCAGTGCCATTAATAAACTCGTCAATGCGTTTCTGCGATCGCTTTTTCGTAGAAGAGGGTACGTATTATTATTATTTACGTTATACTCTAGACTCGTGTATAGAGAAATTCTTTTATAGTTTTATTTACAATCGGGTTTATTAGACATTAGTCGTTGGAAAAAATAATACACAATAAGTAAGAAAATACACGTGTACTTTTCTCAGAAGAATTGAACTTGAATCTTTCACAAATTTATAGAA